AGGGACAAACTGGAGCACATAGGGGTGGCTAATCACCTCACATCCTGGATCCTGGACTACCTCACGGACCGGCCGCAGTATGTCAGGACCCAGGATTGTGTATCGGACTTGGTTGTCTGCAGTACGGGGGCCCTGCAGAGGACAGTGCTGGCACCGTTCCTCTTCACCCTTTACACTGCAGACTTTTCATACCACACCCCCCCTGTCATCTGTAGAAGTTCTCTGACGACTCTGCCATCGTCAGCCTGATCACAGATGGGGACGACAGGGGGTACAGAGAACTGAACCAGGACTTTGTGGACTGGTGCCTGAGGAACCACCTTTAGATCAACGCGGGGAAAACCAAAGAGCTGATGGTGGATTTCCGCAGGTGCAGACTCCTCCCCCCAACACCGGTGAACATCCAGGGAAAGGACATTGAGATGGTGACATCTTATAAGTACCTGGGTGGTCATCTTAACAATAAACTGGACTGGACTAATCACATAACAGCACTATACAAGAAAGGCCAAAGCAGACTCTACCTGCTGAGGCGGCTCAGGTCTTTTGGAGTGCAGAGGGTGCTCCTGAAGACCTTCTTTGACACTGTGGTGGCATCAGCCATCTTTTACGGAGTAGTCTGCTGGGGCAGCAGCGTCTCAGCTGCAGATAGGAAGAGACTGGACAAGCTGATCAAGAAGGCCAGCTCTGTCCTGGGATGCTCTCTGGACTCTGTGCAGGTGGTGGGAGAAAGAAGCATGATAGCCAAGCTGTCATCTCTGAGGACTAATGACTCCCATCCTCTGCAGGAGGAGATAAAAGCTCTGGAGAGCTCCTTCAGCGATAGACTGATTCACCCAAAGTGTGTGAAGGAACGCTATCGCAGGTCCTTCCTGCCTGCTGCTGTCAGGCTACATAACCAGCACTGCTCACAGTAGACTGCACCATGGACACTTTATTGACACTTTATTGACACTATGGACACTTTATGGACACCACAGCTGTCTGCTGTTTTGCACATACAATCACTTGCACTAGATATGCTCCCTTTATCCACTGCTCATTTTCATTCACTGCTGCTCATTATTATCCACTTCCTATTATTTTTTTTATTATTATTATTGTTATTGTTATTTATCGCCGTCTCTTGTATTTTTGTACTTATTTGCATGCCTAGTTATTTAAGTTTTTAAGTTTAAATTTGAAATCTTTAATCTGACTCTTTCTCCTTGACTGCTGTAACACTGGAATTTCTCAATTATGGGATCAATAAAGGTGTATCTTATCTTATCTTATCTTATTTTATCTTATCTTATCTTATCTTATCTACTTTGCAAATGGTAATGGTGCAGAACAGATAATATAATGGGCATATACTTGAATATGATTCCCAACTATGTGTATTCAAAGAACGACCATGGTATATAAAAGATTTAAAAAAAAATCAGAGAGAGCATCTATAACACTCATATTTGCCTTCTCTGCAATCAGTACCAGATACCTTAGCACCTGACGGCAACCCCCGCCATGATGGCAGCAGTCGGTGTAACTACAATAGTTTTTAAAATCCCCGCACGGGTAAAGAGATTCCTTTAAAAATATTTTTTTCATGTTACAATAATTTGTACATTTATTCGATCACTTGCCCATGTGGTAAGTCATATGTTAGAAAGTCAAGTGGAAGCACTGAAAGCTCTTATTACTGAACACAGAGGGACTAGATGCAAAGACATCAATTATCCAGTAGCAGCACATTTTGTTGAATATAATCATGTTATTTCCTCTCTAAATTATATTGAGATTAAGAAAGTAACACTTCCTCTAAGTGGAGATAATCTGAGTTTTACTTTTTATGAGGAAACACTATTGAATCCACTATCTGAGATCCCTATCACCTTTATTATGTTCATTTAGAGTTGATGTCCTAACTTTTGTTACCTATCTAGCATATTAAAAAACTACTCAATGCTCATGTATTTTATCATTTTTAAATATAGTGTCACTAAAAAATTGCAAGTTAACTGTCACATTGCCAAATACCTTATCAACAGGCATGGAAAGGACATCCAAGATCCACCGTCCAAGCATGGAAAGCATACTAAGACTTAACACCTCTCTGTTGTAACTTTCTTACTTGCAGTCTCCAACACATATGCATATATTTGCAGATAAACAAAACACTCTAAAGTTAAGATACTAACATGTGGAAATGTACAGTAACACAGCTTGAAGCAAAGTCGTGCACATAGAAAGACAGAGGAGTAAGAGGGTGTTTATTATAGGACTACACAACTGTGCTCTCTTACAAACTGTGACAAACGTACTGTGAAATGAGAAAAGCAATATTTTTGGAAGCATTGGGTTTTAATGGGATGGGATGAGATTTTAGGGAGACACAGGGGAAGCACCCCCCTCAGTATTAAGTGTTTGACACTAAAAGTTTCATATTTCATGTGAAAAACAATTCCTTTTCAATTTATGCCTGTTATGTGCATTGTGTGTTTTTAAAATACATTTATGTTTTCACAGGAATTGCATACAGTCTTTTGCAAAAATAAACTTTCTATGTAGGTAAAACACTTCATTTTAATGTTTAGTTCCTTGAGTTTATGCAACAAAACTCTCTGGTCATGTTTAATTTAATCTTTGAATTTGTTTTTTAAAACATTTTTGCAGGGAGTTCTAGCTTAGGAGTGATTTTTAGGAAAGTTCTCAGGGCAGCTCTCAAGAAAGGGACAGCAACTTTTACCTTAATGAGGAGGTGTGGTTGATGCCGTTCTTTTCTGAGCCTGCAAGGTGAGGACACCCAGTGGAGATGAGATGAACTGCTGACAGTGAAAGAGTTGTCGTTGATAGTGTGATCACTCTGCTGATGGAGGGTTGAGACAGACTCAAGTCATCACTGCTGCACTGTTGATTTTTCCAAATGTCTTAGTGTTGTGATCATTTTATTTCTAGCGTTATAGCGTTAGGTGGGAAATGTGTGCATATCCCTAATGAGATCAACCACACATATTATCCCTGCACCATCCAATCTGTAACATTTCATTTACTAACAGTCATCCAGTATTTGGAGAATATTTCTCTGACCTCTTTGTGTTTCCACTATTTTCCTCTCTTCTTAAGAAACTCTTAAGCCTCTTAAAAGTCCTCCTTCCTGCTCCTAACAGCTTTAAACCTTAGAATCTCTTTCAGGGTCTAAGGTGCTCTGTGAATAATTTATCTTTACAAGGACCCAGTCTTAACTTTAAGGGGAAATTCTAAGAAAACGTCACAATTCTAAAAAAAAATTAATAGAATTTTGTCACTAGGAGCAACTCTTTGTACTAGGAAGCTTTGTGAATATGACGCCTGGTGTTTGCATGACCCATCCACCTTCCCACCCACCCTAAATGGACTTAATCACTCTTTATACTTTGGTAGGTATTGGCAGAGTCATTAATAGCTGCGTATCATACCAACACAAAGAGTGTCTCAGTCCGTCAGTGTTTCACGCCAACATCCAATGACAAATCAGAGGTATTTCATGAATTCAGTTGTTGCTAGTAGCATCAGAAATAGCCGCCGCCCCCGTGTGTATCAGACCACTGTGAAAGGTGCCTTTGTGCATCAGTTTCTGACGCCCAAATCACTGACAATGCAGCAGTAGATGATAAGTTGGGAGTGAAAACAGGCTGTTATCAGTTGTCACAAGAAAAAATGAGCCCCAAATGGCGGCGGCTAACAATGCTAACAGCGCTAACAACGACAACAGTGATGACAGAGCTAACCGTGTTAATGTGATGGCCTGGTGGGGGACTGGTGTGTGGGTGTCATGCTTCCATAGCAACGCCTTCCCACCACCTTGGGTCAGGACAGATGACTCATCAACATTTTTGCCAGGATATGACGAACTCTAAAATACCATTAAGAATAACTACAGTGCATACATTGCTTTCTACTACTTTGTATCTGCACTTTAACTGCTTCACTCCAATTTCCCTCAGAATAAATAAGGTTGTATTTTTTTTTTTCTTATCTTAGTTTAGTTTAGCTTAGCTTAGCTACAAAACAGCTTTTTGGCTTTGTTCAGCCAGATACTGGTGCATAGTAGGTGATGATCAGTACAAGACATATGGAATACAAAAACCTTGATTGAATATTATGAGACCTCTAAATGAAAGTTAATAACATACTCTGCATTCTACTATTTCAGATCTTAAACCAACGGTGACCTAAATGCACTGATGAGCTACTCTGTCAAAAACCAGAGATAGAGTAACACCCAGATCCTGTCTAACGTGTTAGTCTGCATGACTCTGTTTGTAGCAACAGTTTCTTCATAAGCACACATGCCTTTGTTTTAACACGTCACTGTCTGTATATGTTTACTTCCATCGTAAACCACAGGAAAGAACAAAGGAGATTGGTGTCGTTACAGCTGGTCTGTTGTTGCCGAAGAATTGCACAAATATGCAAATACAGAGTAATGATGAGAACATTTAGCCAAAGGCGACAGATCTCTACAGTTGTTTTTTGATGATTTCTAAATCAATAGATGTTTTAATCTGCCACAACTGTTGCTGTGTGCCCTTGTTTTGCTTTTTTAGCCCCCAGGCAATGATAAAAAATGATAACAAATAAAACCCTCTTGAACACAAAGGATAAAGTTTGTTTATGAAAGTGATAACACACTTTTCTATATGAAGTTCCCACACACACACACACACACACACACACACCAATCAATAAGGTACAGAATTGCTTCATGATAGATTATCTTTCACTTTGCCATAATATACAGGAACAAACACATTGTTTGGATCATAGACAGATTGTTACAGCCATGTGAACCAAGGACTAATTGTGCAATTATCATTTAATTGTTTTTGCTCAAGGGCACGCGGCTCTGATCTGCAGCCAACTTTTTGCATATGTGTCACTTCGCAGCCACCATAAATCACCTGACCATTAAAAATGAGCCGGGAGCATCTCATTTATATCTTTTGGCTTTTACTCTTTTTACTTTGTGAGGCAACTGCCATGACCTGCCCTTCGCAAGAAAAGTAAACTTAGATGGATCTCCTTGATAAACTTCTGTGAACTCGCCTAACTGGAAAAAACGACATAGATGCGGGTGCCGTAAGACGGTTGATGGCACAAACACGTCAACTTGGCTGAAAGAGGCAATATCACCAGTGTGTAGTGAAAGTATTGACTATATGGCTGTGAGAATTCACAAGAGGAGGAGCTCGGTGTTGAAAGACACAAACTCTCAAGCAGGTGTCTGAGTAAATATGTTGGGAGTGCAACTGATCGCTTGTGACTTTGTTTGTCAGAGCTGTTTCTGGTGTAATCAGGAGGCAAATGAGCTGTTTTACATACAGGGTTGAGGAAAAAGGAGGCATATTTTACCTGAATGATTCCTGAAGTACAGGGGCGCAGGAGTCTGGATGGATCTTCCCATGTAAGTACATTCATTACAGACATTATCTATGACCTTAAAGAGAGGTGAAGGGACATCAGACACATATCTTGATATCTGTGTGAGTTTTCATTGAACTTTTTCTTTCAGCAAAAACATCAACTTTTCCACAGATATGCCATGAAGCCAAACAGTATACTCTGTTCTCTGATCCTACGTGTTAATCAGACTGTTTTCATTCAGGTTGAGCCGTAAACGACCTCTGTTCAATGGATATGAAAAGGAGCCTCCGCTGTGCAAAAAGAAATGTTTGGCCACTCTGAAAACTCTGCTGGACAGATATGAGACTGACAGAGACACAGAACATGCCAGACTGAGGTAAGTGCTGCCCGACTGAAGAAGAGTTACAGTACAGTTAACACAGGGTGTGAAACGATGTGTTGCAACAGGAAAGACACAGGTTTATTTATTCACACAGGTTGTTTTAGGACAAAGGGTATTTCAGGTGTCACATTTTCACTTCCTCTTGGTATTAGTCATGCCGCAAAAGTGGCAGGGTAACAGTATACGGTGATTCATGTTACAGTATATGCTGTGGCAAGGACAGTGCCTTTGTACATGGGACACCTGCTGTAACCACTGAGCTACTGGGAACCTGTAGATTACTGCACTTAGAACTGCACTATATAAAAAATGTCCTGAGATAACTTTTGTTGCGCTTTGACGCTATGTAAATAACACTGACTTGACATTTCAGCAAGCAGGCAAACAAAGAACAATGGCGTCTGCAGCTTCTCTCATCCTGAAAGACATGAACCCCTCCCAGTGTGTGCCTGTCCTCTACCTGCCCACCCATACATGTAGATTAACCTGGTGTGCCTAAACTGCTCACTACCTTGGAAACAAAAGTATCAGCAAATAGTCAGATTAAGATTAATGATACTAAGGTGATGCTAAGATTGTAAGCAAACTAATTCAGTTGTAAAGAAGAAATAAATGAACATATGTCTAATTATTAAATATTACAAAACAATCCAAAACTCCAACATACATATTTTAACCCAAGACATATGAACAGACACGTAATGTAATTAATTTGCATTTACTGTTTTGTTTTGTTTTTTATCTTGGAGGGGTATTTGGGGCTTGTTAGCAAGCGCTACTGAGTATCCCACACAACAATAATTACCAGAAAGGTTCAGTTGCCAGGTGAGCTCCATTCATCCAGATGCCAATGGTTTTTGTAGTGAAATGAGCAGGTATCATATAGATAACGTCTACTTCGTCCACTGCTACACTTCAGCGCAAGTGACAGGAATAAAATAGATATGTCCAACAAGAGTTCTGCTCAGAACTAAACACTGCATCGCTCTGTATCCCACTTAGTCACTTGTAGGAAGTTATGACATTCCACTAGAAAACAATGCAATTAAACTAACTTAGTCACTGATGCTCTCTCCATCACATCCAGTGAGGACATGGTGTGAAGTTCGCTATTTCTTGGCTGTCTTGGCTTGACTAGTTTTTGTAGTCACTTCCATTTTTTTTCACTTCAGTATTTGTGTCAATCTAACAATCAAGATATAATGTGTAAATTTCAACACTTTTGGTGATGCTGGTAGGCTAGTAGCGGCCCCTGTTTCCAGTCTTTATGCTAAGCTAAGCTAATGAGCTACTGGCTGTAGATCCATGTTTAATGGATGGACATGAGAGCGGTTTTTACTGTACGTCTGACTCCATGCGAGAAAATAAACAATGTATTTCCCACAATGAAAAACTATTTGTTAAAAAAGTAAATAAAAAAGTTATTTTAACCTTATGAGACCCTGTGTCCTCATATGAGGACATCATATTCAAGGTATGCTTGACCTTAACTTAGACCTGTTGTCCTTGTTTGTGGACACTTTTTTGTGGCATCTAGTGGTAGTAAGACTGCAATACACTCATCCATGTGAAAACAGGATTGCAGCCATCTCTGCCAAGTCAGTCTGCAGCCGATCCCGACACATAAATGGACAAGGCCCAAAACATGATCACATTTTATGGTTGAAACTTGTTTGTTTATGATTAATAATGTTTGTAGTTTAATATGGCAACAAATTTGACCAATTTTAGCAATTTTTCAAGCTAAGACACTGTTAATTAGGAAGTACTCGTTTGAGGACCTTGGGACTTTATGATCGTCTTGTTTGAGGACATTGGGACTATGTTATCATTGACAATGCTTAGATTTTATACTATCCAGGTCCTACTGATCCCAAATAGATAGGAGAAATTAAAAATGCATACCAAACAAAATTTGGGTCTCAGGAGGTTAAACAATATTCTTATCATATGCATGACAATGAAATATCTTTGTGTCACAGGACGAGGTGCGGTCCCCCCTGCACATCTGACACCTGTGTGAATGGCGGGACAAAACACCTGACTCACACTGAGCACTTCTTCAATCAGATCTCATCCTGGGCTGACACACAATCCTCTGTGAATAAAGTATTGGAGCATCTCAAGTCCAGACAAGTAACCGATGACATTTTACTCGATGACTCAATCAACAAGAAATTTCTGGAGTTTCACAGTGACATCACTGAGGAATGTGGCGCAGAAGATAAGCAGCATTCGTGGGCTGTTATTGAGAAACAGGAAGAGGTCGTCATGTATGGACCGTATTATCCTAATTACAACAACGGAGAGCACAGCGAGGACATCATTATTAAACAAACCCAGGAGCTGCTGGAGTCAGAGGATGTGTCAGAGGACTGGAAAGTGTATGTTTTCACCATGAACAGCCCGTGTTTGGCTAGAAACTCAGATCCCTGCATGCTTAACCTGGTTCACAGAGCTCAGGAGTGGTGGAGCGTGTATGGAGTTAAGACTTATATTGGTTATGTGAAATGCTGGGGCTTCAAAGGAAGTAAAGAGAATCTGTTCAGGGATATTAACTACAGCCAAGTGGAGTGTATAGATCTGGCTGAGGACTATGAGAGCTATGTTAAAGCAGCTGAGAAGATTAATCTTAATCCTTTATGTGAAACTCTGTTTCTAGCTGTTAAACGCCGCCTGAGATCTGCAGGTTTGATAAACATGGTGAAAGGTCAGGACTGGAAGAGTTATTTTAAAAGTATGCATAGTATTTATGAAAGCAAACCAGAGGAGGAGAAAAAAATCTTAGCACAGGAGGCGAGCGCCATGATAAAAGCTGCACAAGCTCTGCTTTCAGAAAAAAGTGGAAGCTTTGAGGAATATTTCGACAAAGGACATGCATTTGATCACACCTTTAGTTCCCAAGTATCAGACGCCATCCAGGACCAGATTAGACTCACATTTCAACAGTGTTGGAATGAGATGATACAGGACAAACATGCCGAGTTCATCAGGGAGAAGCTGACTGAAGACTTCAATCAATGCACCGTCCAGCTTTTTATCAAAGACACTGTAAAGTTCACAAAAGAGTACTTAGACATTGGAAGGATACAGTTTCCAGAGGAAGCTCCAAGATGACGAGGAGGTTACATAAGAGCAAACATCTCACACATGTGTGGTATGCCTTTGAAGAGGAATGAATGACACTCGAGCTCAACATCATACATACTGTTTGCATTATGTCAGAATGCTTTGTCTTTATTAGTTTCCTCAGCAGAGCTACAGTTGCACACAGAGGAAGGGCATCAGGTAGTGTTAGTGCACACGTCCACCTCTCACTGTGTCTTTACTTACAATATATCACAAATGGTGTATTACAATTATACTGGAGTGGAGTTTTTACATATATGCTCGTATATTTCTCGGTAATTATCCCACAATTATCTCCCCCCCCCCCATGCTTGTCACAAGCAAATTAAAGCATTAAGTATTGCAAACAAACTGTACAGTCTTGGTACAATACACAGTCATGAACAACCTTCAGATAATAGATGACTGATGATTGTGTGGTTTGGGGTTGTGCAATTCATAATAAATACTAGCAGGATGTCTTCTGGAAAGGCCCTCTAAGTTTTCTTATGGCTGCACATCTGCACATGTGCCAGCAGAGGGAGCTATGTGCCATCACTTCCATCCACATCCATCGTGCAGCTTACTTGCTGCAAAGGTAGATTATCATGTTGTTTTTTTTCATAGAGGTGTCACTACATACATGTATTTTTTACACTTTAAATCAAAGGCGCAAAGGGCCAGCAGGGAGCTGTTCCTATTGCACTGAGCGGGAGATCATGTTTACTGAAGGTCATCGAATCTCTGCTGTCTAGGAGTGATGGATGTCTGATTATCTCGTCTTTGTCAAATTAGATAAACTGTGAAATTACACCTGTGCGTTACAGTTATTGGTATCACATATAAGTGATAAGTGAGTGTCAATAGTGGAGAATGTTTAAGGGGTCAGTTCAGATATTCTTTTCTGTTCATCCCTACTGGTATTTTGCCTTGCAGATGGTTTTATTTGCTAAAGTTCTAAGTTGTTGCTGCTGAGACTGAGTCGCCCTATTTCAGCTAAGATGATGGGATGTTTGTGGAAACCTCAATAGCAAAGTGCTTTATTGGATTCTCTGGATAATCCACAGACCTCATCACCTCTGAACAGTTTGAATCATCGACCATCTTGACACTCCCGACGTGTCAAATACAGCAGTTTGGTCAGTGACCCTACACTTTACACCAGTGGTTCCTGACTGGTGGGTCACGGTCCAAAAGTGGGTCACGTGGGCAAGTGACTCACAAATCAGTCAAGTTTGTAAAATAATGGACAACTACTTTACAGGGACAGCAAATTAACTTGACGACATGGCCAAATGAAAGTATGACGCTGAATATATTAAACTTTGTTAACCTTTAACTAATGACTAAGGACAAATCTGGACCACATGGCTGGACCATTCAGGAGCCACCGCTTTAAACTATGATGTTCTAGGTACACCCAACGAGTTCTTATCCCAGATCGTCAAATACCGATGCTTCTCAACACCTTTGACGTGTGAAATTGACGTCAAAGACACCCTTTGGCGTATACATGAGACGCACCCTTTACCATCTGCATGTGACGCACAGCTGTTTGCTGGGCAAAACACGTTGTAACTCTTAATTACCATAATTGTCTGAGTTGCGTATAGGTTTAGGCAACAAAAACTACTTGGTTAGGCTTTGAAGAAATATCATTTCGAGATGAAGACCGAGTTAAGCCGGAAGTCAAATCTCTCAATTTACCAGTCCATCTACGTTCTGACCCTCACCTATGGGCATGAGCTTTGTGTCTTGACAAAAAGAGTAAGATTGCGGATACAAGCGGCTGAAATTAGTTTCTTCTGGGTGGCTGGGCCCAACTTTAAATACAGTTTGAAGTGGAGTAGATGATGCCAGAAGGGTGCCTTTGGCGTTAGTATCACACGCTGAGGGGTATGACAAAGTGTCTGTATTCAAATAGTCTCTATATACAGACTCTACATTCAGTGAATGTAGAGTCTGTAGGCAAACCCCGGAGATCTTGCCTCCGGAAGAAGAGCGGAAGAGCCCTGGTTTCCGGTTGTAGGCTGTTTGTAGTCCGCGTGATATTGACCAATCACGTTTGAGCCGGCTGCAGTTGTTGCCAGGTTAAACGGTCTGTGTGGTGAACTAATTGGCGTCACTGCAAACTCTGAATCCATCGCAATGTTTCAGCATATTTACTTATATATAAATGGAAGTCGGAAATGGAAATTCGCCTCCTCCGCCCTAATCAAACCAAAATGCCAAAACATCAGGGGTCTGCCTCCAGAGGCTGTATCGCCGTCTGCCGGAAGTCAGACGCCGAATACAGCTGATGGGTTCCGAGAATGGTATTCAAAGAACTCAGAACAGGTTGGTACCCCTTTAGCATCAGTTTTTTTTCACTTTCAGCTTGTTAAATACATACAGTGTCTTTTCAAAGCAAACTTCTGTGTTCATTTGAAACATAGGTTCAGGCAACGCAACTTCTTGGTTAGGTTTGGGAAAGGATTGAAATGACTTTTGGTTTCACACGGGACACAAACAACGGCCTCCTGGGTGAAAGTCTTGTGTTTCCCACCCATCCACCCCAACCTAATCCATACAAACATGTTCTCGCTTTTATGCTGCATGAGTTGCTCCGAGTGTCTTATATTGCCGCAGTTTGGATTACACTGGAGTCATCTCATCTCATATGGATGCAAAGAGGTGCACCGTGTGTCCTTTAGCATCTGTCGAGGGCCACTGACCAAGCTGCCGTATTTGATGACCTCGGGGTGTGAGAACAGGTTGAGCAAACACATCAAAAACAGAAAACTGACCATGTTGAGCTCTGTGGATTATCAAGTCACCGGCACATTGTTTGTTCTGTAAAGAGACAGAGCTTTGGAGTTTTTAAAATATACTTTTCATTTACCTCTGTTGCACTTTGATGTCACATTTGCAAGTAAATACCATTATGAGTGTGAACATATAGTTGCTGTTTTTCTTATCAATGTGAACTAACCCTTAAAGAGCACTGGCTACGACTCCTCCTGTGCTACTTTTGACATTAAGGTGTGCTGTTGTGATTTTTTACGTGTTTTGTGTGTCCATCATGTTGTTCGTAATAATGTGAAAATGAAGACAAATATAACAAAATAAAAATAAATCAGGGAGATAAAGTCTGACTGTTATTTGTTACTGGTTTAAGTTAAAGTATTTGTCACTTAACGCCCATGCACTGGCACACTGGAAAAGGTGAACAGTCGTGTGTCTGATCACAGTCTGATCAAACTCCATTCAGTCCTTCATTGCTGTGAATGAATGATGCACAGTATCTGCTCAGTTCTGTTTAGGATCTCCATTTGCCTCACATGTGTCCCAGAGTGTTGCACTGAAGGCACTGTAAGGTGCTCAGGCTGCAGGAACATCTGCATCCAGAGCAGCAGTCTGCTTCCTGTCTCTCAGGAGAGTTTAATCACCACAGATAGGTTGGTTTGAGATGCTGGGTCGTAGGTCTTCTAGGCCAGGATTAGGTTGTTCCAGGGTTCCGCTTTGGAGCCGGAAGATCCGCCATGGCTGCCAGGGGTCATCTTTAGAGGAATGGCTCCACCTTGAGCTGCCATGTAGGCTGGCAGGGTTGAAATCTAGAGGGACAGAGGAGGAGATGATGAGAAGGCCAGTACAGGAATTTCTTATGTAGTCTGTCCTGTGCAGCTGTTTATCCCATTTACATTGAGATCATTAAAAAGGACCTTTTCTTTACCTTGTCCCATTATTTGCAACCCAATCGCCAGAAGAGTGTTGGAAATGTTACACAAACCCCAGATACATTACATTTGCACGATATTATGTAGCAGATATGTTGTGGTTAAAATATGATTAGGTTTAGGCCGTAAAACAACTTGCTTATGGTCAAGAAAATATTTTTTTTTGGCTTAAAATATCCAGTTTTGGAAGCACAACAGCAGCATCTCAGTAAAACAACAATCGTCTTTCACGGCCCTATCCCCACTGGAAGAGCAGGGACAGGTTGCTAAAAAACAGCTGGTTTTGCTGGTTGCTGGTCTCAAACAGTAGTCTTTACAGGTCCGTAGCATCTTATAGGTGACACGCCATCCACCATCCCTTCCATGTTGGTATATCAAGCCATGTAATGTATTTGCGGTTTGCAGAAATGTACAATGCCAACATTTTCTTCTGGCGACCATGCTAAACATCAACTTAATAAGTCCAAAATGAGACTCCATACTGTGGAATTTGGATTATAATGATCATGTCCAAACATTAGTTTAACTGTTGCTTTTGGTGATACCATTTTCTGGGCTAATTAGACTGAGTTGAATGTAATAACTCTCTTTCCTCGTCACAACCAAAGACTCAAAACCATTTTAGATGTTAGTGTTCCCTGTAATTCAACTATTAAGGTGTCCAACCTGTGCATGTGCGCTTTGGTGTGTGTACAAGCTGTGAGTGTCCGGCTCCGTCTTTATCTGGCGAGGCTCTTCTGTGGTGGTGGAGGCCCGGGGAGTGCTGCTTGGCGTGACTGGAGTCCCCTCACTGCCTGGGGTCCCTGTGGAAGACCAGAACTGAAGTGATTACACATTCAAGGGCAAGATGCACATGTAAATGGGTTCGTAAGTCTTAGCTCTGCTCCTGCTGATCTAACATTGCATATCTATCTATTTACAAACTCCAGCACATGTGGTCTTCAATCTCACCAGTTTGGGACTTGTTGAGGTTCTTGGGTTTGCGTTTGCGGGTCTGGATGCCCTCCTTTTTCATAGCCAGGGGTCGTGGTACCTGTCAAGACAACGGGACAAAAGAATGACCCTTAGTCAACAACAGCAGATTGAAGTAAGATAAATTTAAGGTGAGGTCAAGGGTCAGAGGTGCAAAGGAAAAAGCATATGGCAAAAAAAATCTTTCCTTAAGACTTGCCCATTTTTCCACAAATTGCTAATGATACATTTTCAATATTAAATTCTGAACTGTAGCACAGTAGAAGTAGGTCGCATAAAATGAAATACTCAAGTTTAGTACAGGTACTACACAAACTGTAACTGATTATACACCAGATTTCAGCAGCATCATAAATGCACTCCTCCCCCTTTTCCTTCTTTCTCTCTCACCCCGTGGAGTTTCATGTAGAGGCCACAGGCATTGCAGACCGGCTCTCCCTCTGCGTTTCGTCGCCACAGGGTGGTGAGGGTGGTGTGACAGTTGGAGCAGGACAGGCCCACCCTCCTCGAGGCAGACTGCAGCATATAAAATACGGCAGGAGAAAAAGAGAATATTTTCATTTTTATTTACAAAAAAGGCAAGACATCAGCACTGTGCGGCAAACAACGCTCACTGTATGACTTCTCTGTATGGTACATGTACAGAGTACAGAAGTGTCTACTGTCACCCACCAGCCGTCTCTGAGGTTTAATTAGAGGTCTGTTGATGCCATTCATCTTGTGGTACAGTCCGCAGGCATTACACAGGTAGTGGCCCGTACCATCCCGCCTCCAGAGGGGCGTCGACATCGCCCCACAGTTCACACACTCTCGCCCCTCAATGAAATCATCAAACAGGTCTGATGGAGGACAAGAAAGAAATATGATGAGTCAAAACATCAACTGTCTTTTTTCCTTAAAGGTCCAGTGTGTGGGATCTAGTGGCATCTAGTGGTGAGGTTACAGAACTGACACAACAAACACCAACTTTCACCCGGGAGAGCTTTTTTTAGGTCCTGTAAGATTATAAAGTCAAACCCTGTTCTTTTTTCTTAAACCCAACCACATGCATTAGTTGTCAGGGGGGAAAAAAACATCAGATCGCATTGTTGTACTGACATAGTACGTTTATTTTGACAGAGACTGTATGTAAACGTTAAATTTCCTGTGAAAACAGAAGTGTATTTTGCATGTAACAGGCAGAACACGGAACGTCAACAACCAACGCACCCAGGGTACCTTTCACGTCGTATCTGGACTTGGAAAGTCCATGACCAAATGTCGATATGTGACAAGGTCGGAGTGAGAATGTGTTGGCTGACGTGACTTTGCACATGTTTCAGTATTAATGTACAGTTACTTTTGAGGAGCAGAGGCTTCAGAATGTGATAAGGAGGTCATTACTCCAGGTGGCCTTACAATAGCAGGCTCCTGATTGGCCACCATCATCTTCTTCACCTTCTTCTTCTTCTTTACGTGGCTTAAGGGTTTTACTTATATCTCTGCCTGTTGGTTTGGCATGTCCTTCACATCGCTTCAGTTGTGTTTTGGTGTTTTCATTTGGATTTAGATTTTCTTTTTATAATTTTGTGTGTGGAACGGGAAAAACCCTGTTTTCAAAAATACCCATGTACATGTGGACTAGGCCTTGGATTATAATGCATGAGATGTGTGAGAGTTTGTAAACAGACACTGAGTTTTGCTGTTATTTAACGTTATTACTCTAATTCATTCTCCAGCGTATTTTTGCTGTTCTTGGAGTCACCGTGTAGGCATGCGAGAAAAACATTGTTTTCTACACAAATTCAGCGTAACATGGGGTGAGTAACTGACAAACACATGATGATTTTGGGGATGAAATATTCCTTTAACATCAGTTCAAAGATCACACAATAACATATGAGCTAGAATAAGCTCTTTAACACTCAAAACGCCACTGGATAAACAAAAAAGCACCTGAAGGCACAGTTTTTTATGAAAAGTTCATGTTTGGCCATAGGTTGTTAAAGCTGATGATGGCAGTTCTGAGTGGGTGCTGTTATTGTCAGCCATTGCAAAGAAAATTTAATCGACTTTACATAACTTCCACGTTATTTAGCACATATCCAGCTCATATCACAGGCCCAGCTCATTTCTGTCGTTCTTAGAGAAATGAACTTTGAGCTAAAATTCTTTCCACCCTCATTAATAAACTTTCCTGCACTGTCAAACCCTGACTATGAAATGCAGTGACCTGTCTCCACCAGCAGGAGGTGCAGGCTTCAGTCTTTCAGGCCCCTCACAACAACAGCAGCCAGGAATCCTTCCTTATCTCACAGCTCCCCCTGAGATAAAGAGCCGGCTGGAAATAGAGACGGAATAGAGCTCCATCATATTCAAATAGAGACTCTCTGTGTCTATCACGTCTCTGTCTCCTTCTCTCTCTTAGTTAGCATGACGTCTCATAATCGCCACACTCAACAGTGAATAACAGCCATCCAGGAGGAGGAGGAGGCATCAGTCAGTGGTGTTTTAGTGACGGCAGGTTACAGTATTCATCAGCTATGTGAGGTTATGCTCAAGGAAATGTGCAAAACACCAACATATTAACTGTAGCAGCCACATTTAAATCAGATCAGTGTTTTTTTTTAACACTACGCTCCACTGTGCATAATTATTTTCCTTCAGATAGTATAAATCTGGCCTCCATCTGCTGCTCCTCCTCGCTGCAGAGCCTGACTGATACATAGTCAGGCCTCCTCCAAGGCTGAGAGTGAAACAGAGACAGCAGGGTGAGCTAACCTTGAGTCAGGCAGCAGTTGTAGCCAACACAACGCAGCAACACGAGACAATACACAAAAGAAACGCTGCAGCGTCCGCGTCTATCTAAATGGAAGTTTATTTTTTCCGCTGAGTAAATGTCAGTGTGTGTCTTTATCTGGAGACCCAAACGCATTCAGAGGACAAAGGTGAAAACAACTGTGACGTTATGTGACGACGGACCGGCTGCATAGGGTTTCAGTTTTTGTTTTTCATTTGTCACAGTGATGAAGGTTGATGAGGGAGTTTATTTACTTTATCTAAGCACAATCTGAAAAACATTTTAAAATGTAAGTAAGATACTTATTTAACTTGCTCCTGAGAGCTGCACGTCTTAGCCTTCACAACTGCTTCAATGTCAAGTGTGCAAAGTCATCTAGTGGGCCAGATTTGACCCTTTGGCAGGCCGCTTCTGGCCCTCGGGACGTATGTTTGACACCTCTGCATTATACTTTTACTCTGTGATGTTTCTGATGGCTGTGGTCACTAATGACACTACATATACAGACCTGAAATGATCTGTTTCTGTTTAGCCACCAGTCACTATGTGAGATAGTGAAACAACATCAATATAAGACAAAGGTGTCTAAGAATATTTTTCTTTTAAATGAAGCAGAGTATGTGTTAGGTGACAAGGCAATGAGAAATCTGTAGTGTCCACTCATTTTGCCATACTTTAGTTACTGGACAACTGAAAGTTGAGGATTTAACCTGAACCAGAACATTCACAAAAAGAAAACTTCATTTTACATCAGTGGTTGGTGTCACACTGTAGATTTCTCTACAGAATAATTTAAAGGGTTGTATAAATATTTTTCAGTTCACAAAATGTTAACATTAATTACACTATATGAAGTTGTCAGATAGAATCAGTCCCCTTAGTTGAAGGAGAATTAATATGTATGCTCTGTATTAGTTGTTAAGTAACTATAATCTATTTCTTTTTTTAATCATGTTTAAAGAAAGGGGCAGGAAAATATTTTTTTTCTTCTCTGCTCTTTTCAGTCATGAAATGTGTATTAGAGTTGTTTTGACTGTTAAATGTGCATGAGCAGACCAAATAAAGTGAAATGAAATTACATATACAGTATATACTACTACTATTAATAATAATAATAATAATAATAATAATAATAAGCGCAGGGCCTTTCTCAGTTGTGAAAAAACTAAATTTATTTGACAGCTACAAAAATAAATAAGATAAGTCTATTACCTCTCATGATAAAGTTGATGCATTTATTTCGTCCCAGAGTCCTGACTGTACAATTATGTTATTGATATATACGTGTTGCTGTAAGACATGGTTGTCTACTGTGTGTCTTGTTTGTATATGATGGTTGTATCTGCTATACAGCTACGCCACACTATGTGCCTCAAACAAATTTCCCATTTGGAACAATACATTTTACTTTATTTTATCATATCTTATCTATAGAATATGATGCATTGTTGTGCATTAAACTGGCCAGTGGCGTAAGGAAGTTACGACGGGCCCTGGTGCACACTGTTGTGCATGTATTGTCTTGACACAAATAAGACTTGACATTGGACAACATCAACATACATTATTATTAAATCCAAGACAAATTTCCCACTGGGACAAATAAAGTCTATCCTATCCTATAATCCGGAATCATCGTTGCATATCTGACTAACATATAACAGAAAATAAGAAAGGACTCATTTAATTAAATAGTTTTTATACTATATTTATAGCTTTTTTGGCTTATTTAGATAAAGCATATAATTCAGTTTTAGATAGCTACTGAGTATTTAAAAAGAAGAAAGAAGAATATCATGACGCAGACAGATAAAGCCAATGGCACCATTTTTAAATTGATAATATTCTTTTTTAAAAATCATTTATCTTTGAACACAGGTATATTTCCAAGATGGCAATCTGAATCATTTGCAAGGGCCTGTTCTCTCTACGGGCCCATCCACCCCAGGGGCCCCAGTGCAATAGCACCGTCTATATTTACGTCCCTGAAACTAGCTTAGACTCTTGGAATATATAGTATAATTACAATATTCTAATCAAGAGCGTGGGCTTAGTTTCGACACTGCGGAGGACACATATGAAATGTGGGGTGTTCGTGTCCTCCGCCAGGAAATTATGAGTGTCAGACACTGATATTCTGCATTCTGATGATTTATATGCACCAATCTTTGGATTTTCTGCAACAATTTATGATGTAGATGTCTTTAAATTTGTCAGAATAAAGGTACTCTGCTACTTTAATGTTTTTATCAGATGGGGACAAATGCTCATGCTTTGAATACTGAGGGGGACGAGTCCTCTGCGCCCCTCGAGAAATCTACACCTTCTATTGTCAATAAATAAAGTAGAACGACACTCACAGGGACCTGTGTAGAGTATTTTTACTTTTGATATTTGAGGTAATTTTTTTGAATAATACTATGATGATTTTTTTATTTTAATTTGACTTTAAAGTACTTCTAAAAGTTTGCTTTACTACATTATTTTATTTTTCCAACCAAATCTTAATCAAATATTTATGAGTGTTAGTTGCCAACACGACACATGGTAAAGACAGAGAATATTAAACTGTTAAATTTCTATTTTATATTTCAGGCAGAGACACATGCTCCTTATCTTATATGTGAGGGAGACACACAGGGAGGCACATCAGTGCCGAGGTCCATTAGATACAGATATAATGTCTAATAAAATTAATTATGAATATACATTTTTTAAAAATATATAATAAAAGTACTGGAATGGTATAGTTTTCTACTTCAAATAATTTTCCAATTTAAGTAAGATCAGGTTTAAGAAATACTGATCAGGGCAGAATGTCATAAACATCTGAAACAGCTTTGACCAACATGTTTATAATCGATTCCTAATGTCAAAGCATCGGATATTTCTCTGGAAAATAAGTCAGAAATAAAAGCTTTTTCTTTCAAATGATCCAAAATATTTTCACAGATGCTTTTTTAAAGTTTCAATGCTGATCATTAAAAGAGCTCATTGTGATTTATTTCCACTTTGATTCACTGAGATGAAAAGTCACTTCACAGCTGAGGGAGTTTCCCTTCTCTCCTGTTCACAGCAGAACAATAGAGACTCTCACTGCACGGGTGAACGCCACCTCATCAGACTGTGAGATCTGATTTAATTTGATGTGAGTGTAAAACAATGAGCTGAAGCCATGGGACTGAAACACCTATAAAGAGCAGCAGTGAGTAAACAGACTGTGAGTGTGATTGTGATCAGATGAAGAGGTCAGTGTGGATCAATGCTGTTATCTGTCACACTGTTGGACAGATCGTCTTTTTCTTTCGTCATCAAACAGCTGAAAACAAAGATGGCCTTTAAATAATCACCTCACCAATGATTTAAAGACTCAGAGAAACTAATCAGCTGATAATCTACAGTTAATGTGATAAAAACCAATAATAATACCAAGTGATATATTTAATTATGATCATGAGATTACAGTGTAAATTACAGGATAATTAGATCAGATTATATTCATGACTTGATGAATGAAAAGGTTCAGATTTAGATGCTCGTCATCACCCTGCAGAAAATGCAAATAATGGAAGAATCACAGGTCAAATAAAGACAGGTCTGATTAGTACACGAAGTGCAGGTCGCTGTCATCGACAACTGACAGCCTGAGCAAAATCAGTGGGTTGCGTATTATGGTCCAGAGTTCACTGCAGCTATGGGCCAAAATCACATCCATCCAGCACAGGGACATAAAGCTTTCTTCAATTATTATTATTTAAAAGGATTCACTGTATCTGCCATAAGTAGAAGACAGGACTCTTCAGTTGAGTCCTAATCAAATCAGATCTGGCCTGATCCACAGGCCACATAAACTGTGCTATAAATTCAGCTTCAGTTAAACATTAATTTCTATCACTCCAATAATAGTCCTACATTTGATTCATAAAAACATTCACAAATGTTTGCTATGTGTTAAATATATGTTGGTAGTTAACTTGGCTGTTAAAAACAATTAACCAGCCAGGTCAGTCAAAAGAAAAGTAACGATAGTCGATTAATTGCTTAAGTCATTTTTCAAGCAACAATGTCAAACATTTGCTGGTTCAAGCTTCTTAAAGGTGAGCATTTCCTGATTTTCTTTGTCATTTTTGAGAGTAAATGAAGACTTGGTTGGACAATAGAAGCAATTTGAAGTTGTCACTTTGGGCTCTGGGAAATTATAATGAGCATTTTTCACTTTTTAAAAAAATAAATTTTATAAACTAAATGATGATTAATCATGAAAATAATTAGCATAATGAAAAGAAACCTTAGTTGCAGCCAAAGGAGTAAATATAGGCAGTATGGTTGCTTGGGGCCCATAAGGCGGGGGGCCTACAGAGAGAAGTGGGCCCTCCAACAATGGAGAATGGACCCTTATGAGTGACTGCCACCTTGTAAATGTGTTCAAAGAACTCTCATTAGATTAAAACCAGTGTCATTTATGTATGCCCTTGAATGAGGGTTTTTTGTAAAATAATCAGTAGCATCTCTAACAAAATTATATACCTATTCCATAACTTTAAATCAACTATTAAAATCGTTGAATCAAATTAATTATTGATTATTTTCCTTTGGTAATTTTGCTAAATATTGGTGATTACTGGGTAATATATATGATGATGTTATCCAGTGTCAAGTCTTTGATCATGTGAGGAGACCATACGTGCATGATAGCGTGCAATAAGGTCCAGTAATTACACTGGTTGCAGCCCTAATTAAATGAACCGCACGTTGATTTACTGCCATTAATACTTAATCTGAGCAGTTGGTTTATTTCTATTCACAACGGAACTTATCATAAAATTTGGTTTGAAAAGCTTCAAATAGATCCACTGTTCATTTTCATATGAAGACAAAATGAGCCATGAATTTCATCCAATGACTTTATGTTGTTTTTACGTGTAAAATATCACCATGAGACGCATAATAATGTCACTAAAATGTGTGATAATTACAAATACAGTGCAGCAACACAGCGGCACACAAGACTCAGAACCGCTTCATCAAACTTGTTAGGACCAAAGGTTGCCAAATATAATTAGGCTATTAATTCAAAAATGTTCTTTCCATGTCATATCAATTATCTCGGGTATACACTGTTGAATTATAAATCGTGTAAAGAAACAAACAGATTTTCCAAAGGTGACAGACAGCCTTTAGTCCTGCTGCAGAGACTCTGCAGTCAGTTTATGACCACATCACGGTAATGATTGATCTCACTTGGCAGCCTGTAAAATGCTTTAATGTCTTTGGTTGCTTCGTTGTTTTAATCAAATGTAGGCCTTGATTAATAAAGAAAATAATAAAACATGCACGCGCCACGCTTCATTTAAATTGGAAGTATTAGGATTTTTCGTTCTGCAGAAATTTGATGAAATGCAGCTTATTGTCAGATCTTAAAAGATAACATATAGGGCTAATTTAAAATCTTATCTCATAATTCAAGGACGTCTAACTGATTCTTCTTACGCTAAAATCTGTGTAGGCTGGTGGTTTGAAATATGCAATAATCTCGTTGCTATGTGTTATTAAAATACTGATTTATTTGTAATTTATAAATCAGATTTCAAATCAGTGCAACCAGTGTGAAGTGTATTCTGACAGCCTTATATTCTTGATGTGTTTTATTTATTTAATGTGTGATTATTTGTACATGCAGGAAAAAAAACAGTCCATTTCTTTTTCTTTATTTTTTTCTTTCTGCAAGAGAAAAATAAAATAGATTTTTTTCGATCAAGCTTTTACCTTGTTTAATGTGTGTTTTTGTGTCCATTAACAGTAGGGTTACTCTTTATTAATCGATGACAAATGTAAATAAATAAAGAGACTTGCTTCTTTGTTTTTATCAACAGTATCTGCACTTTTTTTCTCCTTGTGATGACAATTAAAGATGATAGTTTGACATTCTTATTATTTCTGTCTGGAGGACAGAATTTCAAAAATTAAAAACACGTTTTACTGGGATGAAAAAGCAGGACTCTCTCATATTTAAATCTAAAATGAAAAGTAGATATGTGTGTGTAATTTTCCTCACCGTTTGGGTGCCGTGTTGTGCCATGAGGAGCGCTGGTTTGGAGACCATGGAGAACCGGGCTGTCAAAGGGAGACGCCGGCCACGTCCCACCCACGTTCGGGCTCATGTAGGCCGGGTAGGGGCTGTGATAAGACCCGCTGAGGCTCCGGGCGCCGTAGTGCTCCCTCCCGTTGGCAGAGATGTTTAGCGGGCTGCTGTAAGAAGCCGCCGTGTCCCGGGCCGTGGCCACCCCGGAGGACAGAGGCGGGCTGGTGGAGAAGGCGAAGCGCGGAGACACCGGGGAGTGGTTGTACGAGGGCACTGAGTCGGCGCACGGCTGCGCCCAGGCAGAGTGGCTCGACACGGTGCTGCTCTGCTGCGACGCGCCGGGGGTCTGGAGGTAAGGCAGTGCCGGGATCATGGGGGTGACGACCCGGGTGGTGGGCACGTAAACCGGAGAGGTGCCCGCCGAGGCGTTGTGGAGAAATCCGGCCTCATAGGAGGGGGGTCCGTGGTTGGTTGTCATTATGCCCTGATACATATCCTCTCCTTGGAGCTGGACATCCGTGTTGATAGAAGAGATAAATTATAGTGTGGATGCACTTTACGCTCTTAAGTATTAATGCACAAATATTTAACACGATCCGAAAATGTGTCCCTTCCTTATTAAAATCAGATGAGCTGTGAAGAAGTGAAGCAAAGCGACCGCAACATGCAGAAAGTAGGAATAAACTGAGAGAGGAGACATGAGAGGAGGAGGAGTGAGAGCCTATAGCCTGTGATCAAGATCCAGCTGTTATCATCTCTCTCTCTCTCTCTCTCTCTCTCTCTCTCTCTCTCTCTCTCTCACACACACACACACACACACACACACACACACACACACACACACACACGCACTGTCTCTGTATGCCCCCCAAAATGTGAAAGATATTTTAATACAAGGGCATAGATTCAACGCTAAGAGGGGGGCATATTTGGGGTTTTGGGGGTCCTTCACAAGAACATTTTGAGCATTTAACACTTAATTTCCTGCATTTTGGTTATTTTTTTATGCGCAAATTTATGTTGGAATGCCTTTGATTTTGTCAAAATAATCTGCTACTTCCACGATTTTCTTAGAGGGAGATAAATGCAAATGTTTTAGATATTATGGGGAAGGTGTCCCCCGAGTCCCCCTGAAATCTACACCCATGTCAAAAAATAAATAAATAAATAAATAAATAAATGAAACGTAACAATTTTATAAAAGAAAAAACAAATGGACCAATCAAATTATATTTTATTCTAGATGTTTGGAGTGTTTTGGCTTTATTAATGCAACTGACTATGCTAATAATCCTTTTTAAAAGTTAGTTAGCCTTATTTTATTCTTGCTTTATTTAATTTTAAATTTAATTTTTACTTTTATTTTTAATTTATTTTATTCATCTTTATTGCATTTTATTTTATATTTTTGTATTATTTCATTTCATTTTATTTTATTCTATTTATCATTATTTTTAGCTCATTATGTTCCTCCTGATAAATTCTATAAAGGCAGGTTTTTTTTTTGTTAAAGTGTGTTTTTTACTGTTTGTGGAATATTTTTAACACAAGAAACAAACTGTTTATTTTCATGTATGAATCAAATGAATGCATAACGAGCTTTAAAACAAATTCTATTTGTAGATATTAAATTCCTTCAGTTCTTACAAACCGGAAGCTGAAGTGTCCATTCACTCAGTATTAACTCTCTTTAACTCTTATCAAAATACTTTTTCGTTTGTCTCAAATGACGTAAGCTATCAGATGCAAGATTTTGTTTAATTTGTTCATTTAACTTCCTTTTTAACTCAATGATAACGGACTGATTTTTAATTTCGAAAAATCACCACAATATTATTGTGTGTGTGTGTGGTGCTGCAGTGATCTCGTTTTCCGATCTGAAGTTATAATACAGTTTAAATAATAATGATATGCATATTTTTTCTGCTAGTGTGCAGATATTAATATTTGTCCTGTGGTGTTGTAGTTGAATTAAAATAAACCTGGTGATATGTTTAAAAGCTCAGCATTAGAATATTCTAGTAAGCGTTTAAGTCGTTTAAAAATTGATAAACCTCGAGATGGGAGTTATTGACGACATACCAATTAACTGCTCGCAGTCTCATCAACTGAATTTCTCTATCAAGTCATTGATTTGCTTCATGACTTTTCGGCTTCCATACATGTGCTTAACTGGCACTTCACATGTCTAATAACAGCCACATTAAGGCCTGATGTGTTTTTTCTTTCATGACAGAAATGAATAATAGTGCCGGCTGCTTGACGCGCCTTCAGTCGGATGTCTCCGGCGGTTGTTGTCCTCCTGGGGACAGATTTATACCTGTCATCAACACCAGTCAACGTAAACACACGAGGCCATTTCATTGTGCAGCCACTTCCCACAAGACAGACGTTCATTGAGTTATGTGGCTCTGCACAGGCTGCCAATACGGTCCAGTGTGTGTGTGTGTGTGTATAAGAGATAGGGTAGTGGTGGTTGCAGTTTTGTAATACTGCAGAGCCTCCTAGTAAAAGGAACAGTATAATCTGATTAGAGAGGTATCAGAGGGTGACTATCAGACATACAACTGTACCAGGAACATTATTCAGCTGTGACGGAGAGAAAAAATGTCTTCACAGAATTTATCCAGACTGCATTAAAGACTTTATTGTCTGCTTTATATTTCAAATAAACAATTAAACACAGTTGTAGTTTGACAGGCTGTTCTCTGCCACTAAAGAGACTTTCCTCAATGAGGATAGTTTGATTTAACAGCATGAAAATCACATGTTACTGATCACATCAACTCCATAAATGTCCCAGTGTACCACAGTGCACATCCCTGGAACTGGCACACCTGGAGTGCAGCTATCATTAATGTGATCTTGTGGTTTTATGCTATTAAAGGTTGAAAATGTCTACTGTGAAAGGGGCCTATTGAAAATCAAATAAAATATGCCTTGTCAAAACAAATGAAAAACTTTCAATCAAAGCAAAGCAAATCAATAAAAATACTAAAAGTTGCTTGAAAAGAAAATGTAATCATCACAACAGTGCGTTCAACTCAGAGAGGTGTTCTCCAGAAGTCTCTTCCTCAGCCCACTGACTTGCAAAGGGACATGTGAACAGACTTTTGTGAAATATTTCACATGGTCCCCTATAAATAGGTATTTTAAAATGATTTTAAAAAATAAATATGAATGTAAATGGTCCCACTGTAATAGGTGCAGCAAAATATGTAAAGGGACAGTTCACATCCAAATATAAAAACACATATCTTCCGTCTCACCTGTAGTGCTGTTTATCAATCTAGATTTTTTTTGGTGTGAGTTGCTGAGTGTTGGAGATATCGGCCGTAATGATGTCTGCTTTCTTTCCAATATCATAGAACTTGATGCTCGGCTTGGGGTGGTGGCTCAAAATGCTAAAAAACAAAACAAAAAAATAGATTTTAAAAACTCAACAGCAATGTCTCTCCAGAAATCATGACACAGTAACTCAAGATAATCCACAGTCCTTATTGTGAGGAGTTTCATGTAGGAACTATTTTCTTGCTACTGAACTAACTACTCATGGACAAAAGGGTCGTGCTCATAACAGCACAAGATGTAAACATTAATGGCATCTTCCTCAAGCTGTTATTTTAGCTAGCTTATTGGTGCTTGGTGAGTAGATGCACACTTCCTTCTGCGCAGTGATATGATCGGCGGGCATAGTTCGCCACCAAAACAATATACATTTCTAAAAAACACTACAGGTAAGAGGAACAACATGCATTTGTAATTTTGGGGTGAACTGTCCCTTTAAACCAACACATTCTCACTCCGACCTCGTAACATATCGGCGATTGGTCATGGACTTTCCACATCGAGATACAACGTGAAAGGTACCCTGTGTGCATTGGTTGTTGACGTTCTGGGACACAATGACAAGTTCTGCCTGTTACATGCATTGTCTTCTTTCAAAATACACTTCTGTTTTCACAGGAAATTTACTGTTTGCATACAGTCTCTTTCAAAATAAATGCACTACATCAGTACAACACCGCAAACTGACATTTTTTTCCCTCAACAGTAAACACACACGGTTAGGTTTAGGAAAAAAGAACAGGGTTTGGCTTTACAATCTTGCGGGAAGCAAACACCAACCTTCCAGGTGAAAGTCCTTTGTTGGACCCATCCACCACCCCTCCCACCCACCGTACTCAGACTTCCACCACCTTAACTTTTGTTGTTGTCCTGCTGTGTTTCCCAGCTTTTTAGAACTTGTCACATATACAATCGTTCTTTCCAAGACCTGTGAAACTTTGATGTGTTAAATTAAGTTCCCCTTTAAATGACCTAAACATCCCGTCTATCTGTACATGACCCTTATACAATAAAAATGTGTACAGTGTTCACGGCCGCCCACCCTCTCCTGTAGAAGTCAAGGCAAATAGAGTAATATTGCCTCAATGGAAATGGGGAACTGTCATCAATGTGTAACTGCAGCTGATAACAGAACCACCAATTGGTGTCTAATAATATCAAGGCCTGGGCCCTGAACCTGCAAGAGCTTAAAGTAGCACCACGGTCCGAAGTGATTCATGCGTTTATGGTTCCAGTTACTGTATAGAATTACAGTCTGTGTCTCTGTTAGTTTTGCATGTTGTACAAGAAGTTTGTCGAGTGACATAAGTCCCTGTTCAGCAGCAAGGCTTCCCCTATAGGCTCCTGCAGTGCAGTCTAATCAGACACAACATACTGTGAGGGGAAGAGTTTACAAAAATAAACTAAAAATTAAACAGGGTTCATCCTCTTTTCTGTTATTGTACAGTACACTGTGTGTTTTGATTTGTGTGTTTGCACATGCCAGGCTGTATCACTGACAGTGACAGAGGCCAGAGCCCATGAAAACTCTGTGTGTGTGTGTGTGTGTGTGTTTATAACCACCATTCTGTGCAACTGTGTGTATGAATGAGGAGGTGTTGGCTGAGGACTAGATAGAGATGCTGGTGGTATGTGGTGGACAGCAGGAGACTGTTGCTGAGAAAAGTGTGTGTGTTTGCATGCATTTGTGTGTGTGTGTGTGTGTGTGTGTGTGTGTGTGTGTGTGTGTGTGTGCGTGTGTGTGTGTCCAAACCAGGCACCAGGAAAGCTGTCCCCGTCTTGGCTGGGGCAGAGATTCAATCATTTGGGGTCGGTGACTTACTTTGCCCCTTCGGCCCTTCTTCCTTGCACACACAAACACACTCACCCACACACACCAAATCTGGTAGACTCCTGGCTCCAGGAAAAACACTTCAAATGGAGAAGCAGGAAAACCCAGGAGGCAGAGTACCCTGTCGATACAGGCGAACAGAGGCCAGGGAAACACACACACACCTACACGTCTCTCAGTCGTCTTCTTCATTAGCATGCTGTTTTGCAAAGTAAGCAGAAAGCATTAAGTCTCGTCTGCATCTATTCCTGCTGACGTCACCATGTCTGTCTTGTTCTATCTGATCAGATTGATCATCATGGATCCACTCATGTGACACTGATAACGATTAAACTGTGCTAATCAGTGTTAGCTCACTGTCTGCCAATGGACTCATAAAGACCTCTGATAATTTCTGACGACTCTCAAAGTCCTTTCTGTCTTGTTTATTTATTCATTCAGTTTTTTGATGACCCTCAATTGACTTTTCTGAATGACTGACTTTATCGAGCCAGACTTTCAAATTTGACAGTGAAAAA